AACACTTGTATAACTCAACAGAATACCTTCCTATATGTTAATAAAAAAAATGAAAATAAAAAATTATATGTACAAATAACTAAATGAAACTTTTTCCGTTTATGTAAATTCGATAATTAAAAAAAAATGGAAATTCTCGTTCATTTAACGCGCTTTAACCCAAAACGAGAAGCGAATGGAATTTTCTCGTTATTTCTCTTTAAGCTCACAAGCACTAGCTGTCTATGGAAGGATTAAATAATTAAACCGAAATTTTAATTGATTTCATTCAAGAAATCGAAACCTTCCTTCGGATTGAATTTGTTTGCTCGAAATATAAAACCGCGAGTTCTTCCTGAAAAGATAAATTTTATTTTAGAATAACGCGACATGTATATTTCACGCGTCCACTACCAGAATTAGTTGGGTGTATGTGTCCCCAATCTGCCGGTAGCGTCCAGGATACGTGCTACCACTTCCTGTCAGGGACACACAAATTAAAACGCTACACTTACTGAAACTGTTATGAAAATATATCGAGCGAAAATTGTGGTTCATTTGTAGCAGGCCATATACGGACTACGAATCCTTTAATGGTCCCGTTCCATCCTTCTTTCTTCCACTACTTCATTCCACGATACAGTGAAATGTGCAGTTCTCCAAGTCGGTTCTTTTATATCGAGTGTCATTCGAGATTCTCGAGTGCTTTAATGTCACATAAAATTTAGCAGAGCGTACGTTATTAAAAAGTACTTTGAAATATTGCAACTTTAGTGCAAATTACTTTCCAGAAAGCATGAATCGAAATCATAAACGTGCCCGTAAAATATCTCTGGGGAAATGTAACGCGCGATTATTACAAGTTATTGGTAAAAACGCTATTTCGGATTTATTGTTTCGCTTCCCATTATTTTTAATTAATTAAAGCGTTTAACCAAAAACGTAATACATCACACTCAATAGGCCGACAATCTTATTCATCCGAACAATGTACTTTATTATGGTCTACCATAAACTATACAATATGGTCTGGCTATGACATTACCTGTGCAGAATACAAAACGGCTGTAGGTGACAAGCTTGCATATGACATAGGTAACCTACGATAAGGAAATTATGTAATATATTATATATAATTATTGCACCCTTTGCATTATAGTTCGTATTCCAACTAAAGCATTTGACCATCGGGTTATCGAGATATACTGAACTTCAACAAATAGCATTTTCTATTGGAACACATTTTATAGTGTTATTTCCACCTTCCTTATTTACACTTACGCATTCGTATACTAGTAGAAACCAGAGACTATACGCCATCTTGGACTTTGTGACGTCATGATTTCCCGGTTACTCCCTTTCGATTGTACGAATTTATTTTTATGTCCATGGGACTTCGTAACGCTGTTCAAACACTCCAGCGGACGATGAATCATCTCCTCAAAAGGACGAATTTCGTCGACGAAATTTGGGTCCAATCCAACTCGCACGAAGACCACCGGCACCACCTCATCGAACTCTTCACGGTGCTCCAACTGCGAACCTCCATCACAGTTGGGATAAGTCAACCCTGGGTGCATCACAAGTAACTTTCGCAGGTTTTGATGGAGAAATTCCAAGGCTACGTCCTTAGTTGCGTAACCGGGAAAGGCTAGACTACGAGCTAGCGTTGCAAAACAGGTTGTGGAACCGGAAAATCCTCACACCAGGACCTTGTGACGGCACAAAATCAAAGAAGATGGTTAGGGTCTACTTACAGGGTAGCAGACTCGTCTGCCATTTTGGAGCCCACTGACAGTTGAAATCTGGCCCAGAAATCTGTTTAATGGGTAAAATCTTTTTCTTTAAGTGATAAGACAATCGTATCGTATGGCTGACTCATAACTGAAAGTAAGTTTGTGGTTAACGTTAAGTGACAGAAAAGGATACTACTTATGTGAATATCCATGCACACCTTTAGGATAGTACGACTACGAAGGAAGGAAGGAAGGAGATGATGATATTATTCACTATAGTTTATTTTTATGGTCTCTACTGTTTAAATCAAATGTATCGTTTTTACTTACGTACATAGGTCGTCATTACCAGTTCATGATACATCAAGGGCGCGAAATGGTTGACTGGTACAAATGACGTTTCTCTCCAGGGGTGTATATACTTTTTTTTTTGCTCCCCGTTCAAAGTGCAAATGTTGGTCGCCGTTCAAAGTTCAAAAAGTTTTTCACCGTTCAAAGATTGCTGATCAAGGTGATCTTGTGATGGGACATCCAGGTGAAATAAAAGTTTCTCTCTGCTTCTTCTTGGTGGTTTAGAAGAGCATTTCAAGTTACCGATTAAAACGTCGCTCAACCACCCTGCTTCGCAATTGAAGGTTGCATTCAGACCGTTTAAGGTTTAATTCAAATTACTTTAGTACAAGTGAACCTTAGCGCAATGACACATTAAGATATAAAGCGCATCTGGGTAAATGTATAGCTCAATCAGTCAATCAACGCCGTATGGTACCTACATCAAATAAAACTACTTGAAAAATGGCTAACCCTATGTTTTCTTTCAGATAAACGCAATGGTAAGCATAATCTCCGCATTTTTCTGCAATGATCGGTAAGTTATAATTAGTACGATATATTGTTGGTCATGTAGACGTTATTTCGGTCTACACACCAAAAAGAACGACGTGACATCCTGTATATGAGAAAATTTCCATTTATCTAGTAAATCTAGGGGATTATTTACGAAATAAGCACAAAGTTGGTTCGATTCTTTTGAACTTGTATTTCAGTTGTTTGAAATTGCGTGTAATTGCGTAGTTTTCATTTCAATTTCATCTCTTTTGTAAAGAAATTATTCAATTGGCTTTAACAAAGACATATCTTGTTTGCGTACCTCATAAAAGGTTACATCTGGTCTTTTGCGATAAGAAGTTTTATTATTTAGGCGAAATCTAATTAACGCACGTGTTCTGATGCTGATAAGAAGACGCAGGTGCGCATTTCATGTTGGATCAGTGGGGACGTTTGACGCGCTCCATCGTGACTGATAATTTATTTGAAAATTCTAAAAGAGTTTATTCCATGGTGACAGTGCTGTTTCCTTAAATACTGGAGACAACTAGAAAACGAGAGTGCTAGTTTCGCGATGGTTGAAGAGCGTGTATATATTTTTTAAGCTAATTCCAAGTGAATATTGGGATTTTAATTTTTATCGCGGATGCCCGAATTGTACGAGGAGAGATTATAAAATTCTAAGGCATTGGACATCTAACGGAACATTTTGATTTTCTCGAAAACGAGAAGCGCACAAAATTTGGGGAATGGCGCACAAATTAATGAGCACAATATTTTGGCGATGTAACAAATTGGGGTGCGGATTTAAGCGTGATAACTTAACCCAGCCCCTTCGTTTGCATGCTTATATAATATATATGTTCTGGTGCTGAGATAATCTTAAAGAGGAACTTTTGGGAGCGAGAACCCAATAACTTCTGTATCATTTAATTAAGCTTGGACTTTTTGAAAACGTACTGTGTAATTTGAAAGTGAAATATTGGTAACGATTTCACCTTTACAGTTATTTTCGGCAAAATTGAATCTCATCCCTTTCATTGCATTGCGGGCTTTTATGGCACACCCCCCACTAAACCTAAACAAATTAGCAACGATTCGTATGCAAAATTGAAGTCAATTGCAATCAGGTTTGCCGAATGTGAATATCGACGTGGCAATATGTATTGCGTTGTTAATTTATAGCCACCCCATTTAAAAGGTATAGCTCATAATCATTACTATTTCCTTGTAAATTTGCCAACAAGCACACCTCGCGCGTTGGGTAAATTGTGGAACGTAGAAAAAGCTTTAAGTACACGAATTTAACGGTACATTGCCGACGGAATAACGAAAATGATCCCTAAATTGGTTTGGCAGCAGTTCTAAATTCTACATCGCATCAAGTTTAATCCGGTGAAAAATCTGCATGATCTGATTAAATGAGTTTTTCGACATACGGGAATACTTGTCGGTATAGGAATTACGGTTCAAATACGTTATGTATTAATAATTGATAATACAATTCCTGCTAATATAAAAAATGTGCCAAATTATTTACAGAGTAGCGTCCTAGCTCAAACCAAAAATGATGCTTGGAAGAGTGTGTTCAAAAAAATGGTATGTGTGGGGAAAAACCGAAAGTTTATTATTCTCCGATGTGGAAAAGAATATTCAACCAAAAGTATTCACTTCGCCCTTAACGGACAGTTATGTAAATCTGTGCATAGCATCATTAAATGGGCCTCTCCATATAAAGAAGATTTTGTGATATCCCCGCCAGTTTCCACAATAATCGACTGTCACAATATAAATAGGACCCCCTGTATATAATATATACATACATTATATGATAATATAAATTAATTAAGTGACATTCAAATATTAGATTAAGAAATAGCTCAAAGAATAAATGACCGCTACACCTCAATTCATCTCGGTAATACAGGTGCAGTTAAACCCCAATAAATCATCCCCTGAAAGTGATATCTCTTCTAGGCAAAAATGCTTGCTTCAAAACTATCGTAATTCACCCGCTATTTGTTATCGTTCGTTCATAAAGGAAATTTACCCTTTATTAAATTGATAGTTTTACCTAGTTCGCGATAGTAGATAATTTTTCGTTAGAAATTGCAGATTATTCATCATCGTATTTATATTATTAAATAACGCATTTCTTTTCACCAGTGGAGCATAGTTCAAATGGTCAAGCAGAATCCTCAGTAAAGCTTATTAGCAAGTTTAAAAAAACCTGTAGTGGAAAAGGAAATTTTAATTTAGTAATAATTCATCAAAATGGCGAACTCTTGCCAAGCTTTTTCTAGGAAGAATAAAAACCAAAGTTTAATTAAACCCCAAAACTCCTTAGGTGGTTCA